TTGGCCGAATTATGGCCCTTTGATAAAAAGGTGTGTTTTTCTGTGTTTTGCCAGATACACAAAAGCTTGTCCGGACTACTCCTCATAAACTTCTGGTGCAATTTTATCCAAACGTTACAGGAATGATCAGTACCAAGTCTTGTTGTGCACTGTCCGTCTGTCTGTCCGTCTGTCACAAAACTTGTCCCAACATATAATTGGCCTTCAAGACGCGACACATGTGATCACTGATCGCTCTTGGTTAATTGGGGACCATATGCCGCTTTTTATGGAATAGCACTTATGTGTCACATTGAAGGTTCCATGATAGCCACCATATGAACACATCTGCGGATGTTTCAAAATTCCAAATTGTACCAGTTCATGTTAAATGTTGAATTCTGCATAAGCCGGTGCTAGGGGCGTGAACGGTAATTTGCACTTTCCAATACCGTCCATAAACAGGCTACATCACACCGAGCCTGCAACATTTTCAATTTTGCCGTGTTGGGCTTTCTCTAAGGGTTCCTTTTTTCTCTATTTTAGATAGAATTGGATTTCAATATTTAACATGAAATGAAGTTTGAATAAAACCGAAGAAAAGGTCTGTCTGGTATTCAATAATAATTAGATAACTGATACTATTGATTCCAAAAAGATACACATAAAGAAGAGTTCAACGGCTATCAGAACGCGGCATTCAATTTTGTAAGCATAATTCCGGAGTCACTGTTATCAATTTTAGTGAAACATGCTGTTTAGAGCAAAACGCAACAATTACATTTCATTTAATAAACGGAATCATATAAAATTAAACGTAATATACGTAAAAATTGTTCAACAAAGCTATGTGACAAACACTCGGATATACTGTGAGTTATATAGACCGAGTATCACACAGGTTAGCATAAAAAGAAACATATTTCTAGTTAACACTTTTAATAAAGTACATTTTGACTTTTTTACATTCATACAATAAGGAATAATTAAATCATATATATTAATCCACCAGGTTCTTTTGATAAACATTTTTCAACAGTTTTAATGTTTATCAATTACAACCCGTGTAAAACAAAATATGAAAAGCAAGATTAGCAAGGAAGGTCGTCATTCAATGAACACATCCTCCAATGCATGACCACCGAGAAAGGAACCAAGCAGGACACTGTACATTTAATACTTTAAATGGCGTCATACCCCCGCCTTTTTATCAATGAGGATTGCGGTCAAGACATCATTTCGCATTTATGAAAGAAGTTATAAATTCATACATTAATATATGAAAAAAGTTTTAGTGAAATGATTCGTCTTTCTGGAATATGATTTTATATAATTTGAAAATCAAACACCGATTTTCGTTACCGAGGCGAATGCGTAGCTCTCTGGTAACTGTTTATCAGAAAGTCGGCACGAGCCTGGTTACCGACATTAAAATTGTTATACTGAGCAATTCAGATGAAACTTTGACTATGACCTTCAATTTATATAAATTGAATTGTATTGAAATTTCTTTTCTTTGTTAATTATAGATTTATTTGATTTTTACTTGGGCTAACACGTATCTAGGACAAAATACTCAAGCGAAGTAATTCATGATTGACTTTGACCTCATGATGACCTTTATCTTTAAAGTTAAAATAATGAATGTTCATCACATAAACCAAGACTTTGATATTAAATAACGGATTTGATTCATACTCTGGCGAAATAATATTTTTTACCAAATGGTCATCTTTTAAGTGACATTGTCCCTAAAGGTAAAATGCCAAAATGTATCTTATTCTTTATAACTTCGTTTTTTATGCTCTTGTTTGATCAATGTAAGGACACAACAACGTGACAGACAGACAATATCATCATACTGTCTTGTTAAAAGTCAAGGACATTTTGAAATTATTTATCAATTTACTATTACTATAAATTATAGCTGCTTAAATGTTATGCTTTGACAAAACATCAATCAAACCAATCTTTTAAATAAAATGTTTACTTTGATATCGACCTGAGAAGAACAATCGCTGAAAATTGCCTATTAATGTTTTTGCATTTGGTAATAGCTAGCAAAAAAATCCAAGTATCGTGTCTGCTTAAAAGTGGCTTTGGTATAAATTATGAAATATTTATAACATTTATTGATAGTTCTCCTTTGTAATTTTCATGTCTTTTTGGTCAATTTTCGTTTCAAATGATATGGTAATATATAGATTAATTGGGCTAGAGGTATGCATTATCGTCATAATAAATAAATAATAAACTATTTATAGAAATCCCGGGTTGATAAGCATGACGGTAAATACAAAGGAACGACCAAAATAAAGAAAGAAATATCAAATAAAATAATAACGGGTAGTACATTCAAACTTAAGAGTTAAGCGGAAGAATTCAGAATTATTAACGTCTTAAAACCGGTTCACTTATGATAAGAAAGTGTGTAATTGGATAATTAAGCAAGTATTTAAATTGTTTATTGTTCAAATTAATTTGAAAAAGTGTATAAAGGGACATCAAAGTAAGTATTTCAGATTGTTTTGTTTAAAAAAAAAAAAAACCTTTACATCGCGTTTAATTTATTTGATCTTACACGGTGGCAAAAAGGGTATGATTTTAATATTGTTTATTACCATTACCAATATCATAGTCTTTTCTTAAATGATGCCTCAATAACTCCTAAATGATTCTATGGATGCAAAGAGTGATAAAAATAGTAAATAAATATGCATTTTGTTACTATATTTTTGGTTTAGTCTTTACCTCGTAACAACACTATATAGGTCATTCTGTGACTTTCGAAATTTACTGGTGAAAGAAAGACCTTTACAAATCACTTGCCCATTTATTTTGGTCACAAACGGACACCTTATCAGAACCACCGGCGTTCCGAAATTCAGGTTGAAAGAATATCCAAAGACGCTTACGAGTCTTGAAACTGCAGCTGTGAGAGGCAATTGGTTTTTATTTGTTCGGGTCGTCAGACCAAACAAATATGGTAGCGACATTGCAGACTCTAATGCTGTTAATTGCAAATGCCGAAAGTAGTCCGCTTTTTTTAAGCGGTTACTTCCATTTATATGGAACCTAACGCCAAAAAACTCAGGGGAGATCACTGCGTTAAGATGGTCAAATTACAGGCGCATTAATATTCAAGAATGGTCGAAGATTTCTAATATTGATTTATTCTTTATAGATATACATGCTTATAGTCAGCGCCATGATCATTTACACAATTGGGCCTTGTTACAAACACTAATATAGAATAATATGGTTTTTCTTCAGGCCACTAACATATATTCACCGTGGCCGAGTGCTTAGCGCGCTCGCTTGGGAAACGAGAGGTCTGGAGTTCAAATCCCAGTTGATGCAACTCATTTTTCAAATTGTTAAAGTCAAATAAACATTGGATAGAATATCAGTGTTGCAATAGGTCTTATAGCCAATTTACTACAATTAAAACGCTGAAAGGAATAGTGGCACTATACAAAAACAAATTTGTTTATTATCTCACAACATTCATCTTTCTTACATTCTGAGACCCAAAATAATTTAGCTCCTTCTGTGCTTTGATTGATGAACGGTCTCAGCCACTCGGCATTGAACGCCCCATACTAACTATTTTATAAATTTATAGATGGATAGTATTGGGTATCACACGTGTTTCCTATCTTTTCTAGTTTATTGTGCCATAACAATGCGATTCATTGACATGTAATTTAAAAATCCATATCTCGTTTGATATGTTTGTAATTCAATTCCATGTATAAAAACATACAATAGGTCCTTTGTGATTGATATCGTTACTGTGTGTATACCACACTTATATATATATATATATATGTATATAATTATGCAAATAGTTTTCAAACATCGAAGGATATGTAAGATATGTACTGCAAATATTTTGCACATTATATTTAATCACTAAATTACATGCATTCATTTCTTATTAGAAAATTTGACTGAGAATTTATAAAAAAATAATTTCTAATTACCCGCCCCCTTTATTTAGCTGTGAATCGGATTTATAAACTCTTTAATTTCTCTTACAATAGCATCGATTAATTTTCAAAAAATTATTTTTCCGAACTCTCAAATATGTTTCATGTATAAGATCAGTTTCTTTATAAAATTTCTTTAATATTTTTAATACTGACTTTTCAAAAAATTTACAAACTTTTTGCCTAAGCAGAATTTATATTGGCTTTCTAAACTGATATATCAAATTTATAATTTGCAATACACATTTCGGTTTTCATTTCAAAGTGATTATTTTTTAACTTTATACAACTTGTCCGATATTTCGGTAACGAGATCCTAATTACCCTACACTAATACGGGCAATTAGCTCACTTGGTATTGACCGGATTTATTCAATAATTTTAGTTAATAATTAATGCGTATTTACCTTTCTCATAAATATCACAATAATGAATCTTATAGCTTATCTTTTTTTATTTTTAACATTATAACTAGTAAAATAATTGTATTATCTATGCGTATGATACACGTTAATGTGATTTAAAAGCTGCATCATACAGATTTATAGTTAATCCTTAATTGTTTACATAATTGAATATAAAATTATTTGAATAGAACAAACTCTTGTTTATTTCTTATGAAACCAAAATTGTTAACTGTCTTTCATACAAAACTTTTTCGTTTGATATACATAAACGATGATAAAAACTCTAAAATATGGAATATTCTTGAAATAGTGTCAACAAAATAATAAACATAACAACAATTTAAGTTAAACTTTATATATCTATTAGAATCTATTTAAAAAAAAACCTAAAGATTAACGTGGCCATAACATAGACTAACATAGACTTACAAAATCTTAATATTAAATCATATTGGAATATTTTGAACTAATATTATCATGAACTTTAAGAATAGAAGAATAAACTCATCTTTTATAAATGGTATCTCATTTGGTATATACATACTATTGATAAGATGACACGTAAAGAATGCATCTAATATTCATACACAGTAACGAATACTCATAACTCTTTCAGAATCTAAATTGACAAAGAAGATTAACTTAACAAAAAGGTTCGTCACAAATGATCTGGTGAAGAAATGAAGAATCTGTTATTAAATCACATCTTACTTTCAATGGTTCTTGCTATAAACTTGAATATTCAGTCGTGCAACGCCAACACCATACTTAATTCCCAAGGAAATGTAGCGATACCAGCAACAGGTGGGACGTTTTGCTATAAAATAGATACATATGGTATTTCTTTTAATATGTTTAATATGGTCAATATATTAATGTATGTAAAACGTTGATAGTGTTTGGTATAATACCTTACAAACCATTTGAATTACATATGGATGTCGTTGATTACAGTGAGATACATGGTCATACTTGACATTTTAAAATGGAAGACAATGAATTGTACTTTAACAAAATATCATTATTCATCATTTAATGAATTAGTGAAAAACAGAATACCTAATAAATAACTCAGGCTTTTTTTAAGAAAGAGATTTCATCAAAATGATACATTTATTGTATTTATTAACATTTGAAAGAAATACTTATGGGAAATGTGCCCATTGCGTGGCATAGAATGCTTGTTCATCCATGCCTTTTGGTACTAATTTTTAGTTACAGTGGAAGTCGTTGAAACAGATGCAAGACAAAGACGATCGATGGACCTATTTCCTGACCAATTAGCTGTTGTCTTGTCAACAGATGAATTACATGAACAGGTTCAAAATCTCAAAAGAAATTATCACGTGCCAGATATTAAGTATGTTCACATGATGGAAAATGGAGCAATTAAAAAGTTCAAATTTGAAAATAAACAGGTAATCCATTATGTTGTTGCAATATCGTAAGTCACTTATATGCAACTTTTGTCTAATGTCATTATTTCAAACACAAGAGATATTTCACTAGTATATAATATAAATTGTCTTCATGCCATATTTTAATTTTTTTAGCATTTGTAAAGTATTTGTTGTACTATGAGTAAGATTATTTTTAATTGCTGTATCAACTATTTCAGAAAACTGCATATTATATTGATGTTGAACATGGTGCTTCTTATAGAGTTTCTTTGGCATCAGAGGGAGCTGAAGATTTTGATATTGTGAGTTTTGCTTATAACCACGACAAAATCTTACCGCAAATCAGTGACACGTTTTCTTGCCAACCCTTTCTGTAACATGTACGCATTTCTTAATGGTGGCTGATTTGTTACACTTTTGAACGCCGTGTTGAAGCTTACAGCAGAGGGACGAAGCGCCAATTGGCGCGTTGTCGGACTTTCGTCCTGTCGTCATGTCGCTAACGATGTACGCCAAATGGCGTCTTGTCGTACGGCGTGTTGTAACGATGTCACATTGTCACAACGCGCCTTTTGGCATGCTTCGCTAGAGACAGGACGACAAGACAACAGAGCGACAACCAGCTGTTTGGTGTTTTGTTTTGTTGTGTTGAGACCATAATGGGGTATATATTACTAGATTAACATTTTGGATTTAACTGCTTGCTATGGTTGCCTTTCAACGTTTTCCTTTCAAAATAAGATTGATTGAGTCTTCCCACACTGATGTTCCAACTGTTTCGTTATGTTATTTGTTTTTATAAAATGGTATTTTACTTAGTAAAACGGATAAAATTGATATTTTAAGACATTATGCAACAAGAAGTTTGTGTGGAGATTTATTTTTATATTTATGATTTATATAAACAAAAATCAACCACAACAAGGCACACAACCCTTTGTAAAATCATGCAAATACAATGTATTTTCAAATTTCATCCCAACACTGGTTTGCCACAAAATCTTAGCATCATTCAAACCTTTTAAAGCAAAAGAAACAAAAATGTCTTTGCAACGTTTATAATGAGAAGAGCAACATTATTTGTTTGGCTGTTACCATATGTTCCTACTGGTCAAAAGTCAAATTTATTACAGTGATTACTGATTTTTTAGTACGGAACGTTCGTTTCCGAACAACATGAATATTTATTGCAATCAACGAGGGAAAACAAAAGTACTTACACAGTATCGCTGATGGAAGAAAAGCTGACAACATCGTTTGATTATATTAGTTTGTCAGACACAGGTAAGGTTTTAGTTGTATAACTAAATCTTTAGTAGGTTTATTCATATAAATAAATGGCTCAGATAAAGTTCAAATATCTAGTACCAATTTAATCAACGGTTGCTGTTAATTTTGTATTGTCTGATCTTTATTACGACTGCAAATTTAGGCGTAGCTCATTTATTAAATTTCAACAGTAAATAATTCAACATTTCTCCACCTTCAAGTCGATTACATTCATTTATATAGCTGTAAAAGAATGTATTCTTTGAATCCCCAATCCGACTTTATATTGCTGTTCTGTAAATTTGCAATGTATTGATAAGGGTATATGGTTATACCTTTATTACTGAAAGTGATCCCGTACAGGCAACAAATTAATTATTTTCAGATGCCAAAATAATTGAAGAGAAGATGCACAACCGCTCAGAGAAGACAATGACCAGAAGAGAAAAGCGACAGACGACCGAATACGAGGTCGAAATTTTCTTTGTGCATGACTTTGCGATGTACAATAGGTATGTTAAAAACCAACACTAATTTTGCTTAATGCTGAATGCCTCAAGATAAGCGAAAATATTTCAAGGAAATAAAACTTGAGAAAAGTGCCCTTATATCTTAAGAAATGTAAAAAGACTCAAGATTCAAGTTTTGCCTTACATATTGACTAATTTTGACTGATTTTGTTATTATTATCGCCATATCTTTACAGCAACATTTAGGCAGTTAATGTTTTTTTGCATGATTGACTTCTTTCAGTGGTAATTAACGTGGACTATAAGTGCCGTTTGTTATGTGGAAATCACTTTCTTTCGCAATCGTTGTCTCTGAATTTAGATTATTCTATTTTCAGTTGGTATGCTACTACTGAAGGAGAAAACGACAGACACAGTGCTACAGTTACTAAAATTATACAATTCACTGCTTTTCTGCTAAACGCGGTAATATGATCTGGTCTTCAATTGTATTATTTTTATCTCTGGCTAAATGACTAAGGCATATCTTATCATTTTCATCGTCTTTTTTCTTCATCGTATTAGTTACATGTATTATGTTTATGTTATCAAAAATAGTTTGGTAAAGCAATGCATTTATGATAGTCCGAAATAACTTTAACTTAAACATCTTAAACATCATTTAATGGCAACATCTTTTTGTCTCAGTCTATTTATTTTGCTCTTACGAATTATATATGTAAAAAATGACAACGTGGTAAAATAGGCACACTTGTTATAACTTAGACTGGTGAATCATTTTAACTTCTGATATTTGCGTTCTTACATGTATTGATCATGTTTAAATTTGCATTATTATTATGTAATTGAAAAGTCTTAGACATGCAGATCATTTCCCATACTTTATATATAAAGCTGTAGACGAGTCAATATATCTCAAATAAACAAAGGTTGGGGAAAATTTATTTAATTCGAGTATGTAAAATAAAATGAAAAGTTAACCAAATAATAAATACCCAGATGAAAAAAAAGCAACCCCCCAACCCCCCCAAAAAAAAACACAAAAAAAAAAAAAACGAAACGAGACTATATGGGAAGTTGGGTTCTTTTAATATCGTTCTTCTATGGCTGATTTTTGGTGTCCATTTAACTTAAAAAAATAACTAAGATTAGGAAAAGTAGAAGTAATGATATATGTACATGTTTTTTGTGATTAATGACTGTTTTTGCAGTATTTATCAAAATAGTTCTATAACGAGACAAATGCAGCAATGACTTTGACCTGTTTTAAGTTAATTACGTAAATGGTAAGTGTAAACTCGGTATTGTCATGTGTTAATTGTTCACATTAGGTTGACCGATATTGTTTTCATCCACCTTATTCGTAGACGAGACCACCTTAAAAATGGGCATTAAGCTATATTTCATGTTTCAGATTGATCTACGGTATCAAACTGTGACAGACTACTCGTATTCAATATCCTGTCTTTTTGCTGGAATTTACATAGCTGATGTAAGTATCAACAGAGAACTTGCCAATTTAACTCTACATGTTGTGTCCATAGTTCAATAAATAACGACAGACTACAAACTGAATCAGCTCATACTAATATATGGACGACTAAGACTTTAATGATATGAATCATATTGTCTAAGTGATCAAGAATCTTTATTGTTCTCTACTCAAATGAAATGAACTGTAAAAACTGTAAAAATACAAGTCAATATAAATTTCCAATTTAATTACAATATTATATTTTCAAAATCATTTGCAATATATCCATGTTGTGACACATAAATAAAAATCGTTTCCCTTAAGAGTACGATGCTTCTAATGTTATAACATAATTTATGTAAACCCTGTCTGTAATGACGCCTTGGATTAAATCATGTCCGAATTTGTAATGCATATTTCCAGACATCCTGTTTCTGAGATATAATATCATCTGCAGGTTTCAAGCGATGCACCTTTTGTAGAAGACCATGTCTCCAATAACCAAGCTGTAGCTGAAACTGTTCTAAGCGCTTTCAAGGAATGGGGAGAGGATTCACTAGGAGATTTTAATTATGACCATGCTATGTTGTTTACAGGGTAAGAAAGGGTTTCTTACTTTTACGTCTTATATATACCATTTCATTATTATGATATGACTGCAGGAAACAGTCATGTGGTTTTGCTTCATGGCCACTTAGATGAACTAGGGAGAGCAATCCAGTTCCCATGTCACTCGGAATCAACAGCACCCAAATGGACATCGGATGGGCAGAGGTAGTTAAATGATGAGGTTGAAGGTCGTAATTATCATTTGTTAACCAGGGATACATTAAGTTTAGTTAGAAGTGACGGATACAGAAGTGACGATACTGAAAAACTTGAAACGGACAGGGAGGAAAGGTGGGGCACCAATGGAAAGGAAGTAGGACAAATTATTACTGAAATCACAGAACACATTTAACGAAAATATATATGGAAGGAAATCTAAGACAGATAAATAAATACTATTTTTTTAAACTATCTTAATTTTGCTGTCTTATTCTAAATTTGATGGTGATAAAAAAGACAAAACTGCAAACTCAGTTACGAAATAAGTGGTTGAACGAGTTTGTTTAAGGAGTTTGAGCCTTTTTGAAGGAGTTTGTAGGTAATGTAAAAGTCAAATTAATTTATATGGACTTGCTTTGTATTTACTATCATGTATGTATGAATGACTTGTATTGTTTCAATAAAAATGTCAAATAAGATGTATGCCATTTAGCTTGTAGTCATTATGTACGAATGTAATGGACGAATGATTTCGAATTCAAAATTTTACCATTTAATTCCAATTGTTGCATACACATTAGCTTGCGTGAAGTCCATGACCTATAACACAAAGACTGATCCTAAAAAAGGTCAAATTATCGGAAAATAATTACTTTGTATTTGTTTATCACATTAGTTCCATATTTCATGATTGTATAGTTAGAAAAATATAATCAACAAAACTTGATTTTCACAAAAAATATGGTTATGATGTTCCGATTAGATATGAAGCGGTGTCGTTTGATTTTTAAATGATTATTGAAATGTTATTTTCGAAGCGGTTTTTGTAAGTCATTTCAATGATTTGAGGTTTTAATGACAAGAAGTGACTGAAATTTCTAGGGGGCGTGTACGGTAACTTGCACCTTCCAGTACTGTCCATGAACAGACTTTATCAATCCGAGCCCTTAAGGCGTTCCTTTTCTCTATTTTATAAAGAAAATCTTATCAGCACATTACCGAAAGCGAGTCACACTTAGTTAAAGACTTACAAAACATTGAAATAAACCGTTTTCCAAAATTTTGATGATTTATTTTAATTATATTTTATTGCTATATACGAGGGGTTATCCAAAAATTCGTGGACTTTTTAAATATTTCTTGAACATCGATGTGTATTGTAGCATACATTGTAGAATATTATCAACACATTTTGAAAGAAACAGTCAATTGTGTCCATAAATAATGATTTTATATTGCTTTTAAATAAGCACATACACGGCACCCGGCGCACGGTAGAAAAACGCAGTAAGTCATCGTATATTTTTGCTAAAAAAACTAAAAAATAACGCAGAAAACCCGCTGAAAATCGCATGTTTCTTCTATAATGTCATTTTAGTAATTCTTTGAAATAATAGACGTCATTTCCGTTTATTTTTGTTGATATCGCTAGAAACGCCAGACGCCTTTATTGTTTACAACGGGAAAATGACGGACACGCGGTAATTAGAAAATCGCAAGATCATTAATTTTTGTTGTAATTGGGGGATGACACCTACAAAATATTTCATAAAATCAGCAGACGAACAGAGAAAAGAAAATTTCACAATCATTAGTGTTAAAGTGGCAAAAGAAATTTAGTGATTGACATTACTTTGAGAAGCAGTAACCGTCAATGACTGCGTAACGTTGAAGCACAAGCTGTACGTTAATATTAATAATATCTGTCATATTTTGCGGTTCGGATCGGAATATCCGTCCCGAGGTGACCCGCCCATTGGGCGGTAACGAGGCTTGCCGAGTTACCGCCCATGGGCGGGTGACCGAGGGACGGATATTCCGATCCGAACCACAAACATATGTCAGATATTTTTTCTTGCATATTCTGCCATATTCCATTATACTTTAAATTCTTTATCTTTATTTTCAATGAAAATTTATATCATTACAACCGTAACTACTTTCTTACAACAGCGTATGAATTACAACTTCATTCATAACGGTAAAATGACGTCATCCTAATCGTGCCATTGTACAGCACGCGACTCATCTGGAACCCCCTATGCCAGATGAAATTTCCGGCATGGGTAAAACTCACGGAAACGCCAGTCTGATATGCAAGAATATCACGTTGCGTCAATAATTTTTTGGAGTGCGCCGCTGTCGCCGACATGTGTTTATGTAAAATTGAATATTGTTGGAATGTAAAAAGCTGCTCATATGAATTTTTCTGTGCTTTTTGTTATTAATTCTTCTAAACAGTGTAAGAATTTCAAATTAATATCTCAAATATATTTTACGCAACAAAGAAAGTCCACGAATTTTTGGATTACCCCTCGTACATGTATATACAATACAGATACAAATTTCATATGTATTCTAAACAGCAAAAGCAAATGGGTTGGGCCCAAGTTCTTACAACATTAGCAGTCGGCCCTCCCCGGTTGTTTTTTTGATAGTTTCGTATCCATTAAGGTTATTTTCTGCAGGGCAAATGTTGGGATAAATTGAAAACGGGAGAAATAAAATACACTTTGTATATCAAATCAACAAACATTTTTTACGTTTTAATGAGTTTTTTTTGTCAAAACAAAATAACGACATTTATAGAAAATATGCTATTTGAAACAAATGTGCTCGCGTTTGCGCCTTTACACTCATCTATTTGATGAGAAGTAAACAAATTCAAGTTCATACCATGTTTTGTCATATTTTGTTTACTTTATAACATAGGTACGATATTGGAGAAACAATTGATGGCGCATTTATTTCTGACATAGCAGGTATAAAAGTTATTAATACATGGTGGAAATTGTATTCATTTCAACTAATCCATTCATTTTTGTGTTTCTAAACCCAAAAATTTTTACTCCCTATGAAACTTTTTTTCAAGGTTAAACCCCAAGTCCTGATAATAAATACAGATTTTTTTATTTTTTAAAATTCAACTGTTTAACGAAATTTACTGTTTGTGTTTGGGTAGTTTTCTTTTAACTTTTCCTTTTTTAAAAACAGAATTAATAAACTTTAAACCCCAAGTCGTAATTTTTTTAAATGAAAATGTCAGGGTTTTTAAGGGGCCCATTTTTTTTTATTTCAAAAACAAAAGATACTGCAAATTTTTCCCCTTAAGGTCTTGCTTTATTTCCCCGTGTATTATAAAAACCGGTGAACTATTTAAGGCCCCCAGTTTGGGGAAAGTTTGAGATTTTTTAAATCAATGAAGGGGGTTTGTTTTAAAAAGGGAAAGGGCAAGATTTGCGCACATAAAGCTTGGAAAATAAGTAATAAAAATAAAAAATGTTAATTACTTGTTTTTCACGTTAACCCTTTTGAAAAAAAGTGTTTGGGTTTTAAAGGAATTACTTTCAAAGTTCATTTGTTTACTGTGTTTTTTAGAATCGCATTAATTCTAATGCAGCATTCTCAGGTCATTTTCAAATTGTTAATTACTTGGAAATTAAACAAAGGGAGTGAAAAGGAGAGATCAAGATTAGCAAGTGTTCATTAGGGCGTTTATTGAGTGCGACTCTTACTTGCTGAACTTTGTTTTGATATTTCATTGAATGATCAGCTGCATAATTATTTCATTGTTTTACAGTTTTATCATTAATCCTTTCCATGTTCTGTTTCAGCCTTGGATCATCACATGATGGTAGTTCAAATACTTGTTCTGGTGGTTATGTCATGGAGCCGTCTGTAAAAGTTAGTGGAAATGCATACGAAAACCTAGAACTTTGGCAGTTCTCCTCTTGTTCACAGACATATTTTGATACTTATATCACGGATTTAAATGATGCGTAAGTTTAAAGTTTTAATTAGTGGTGAATTTGATTAATTATCCATGTTCTTAACATAACATTGTCAGAAAATAGATAAGGAAATATATAATTGTACAAACGGGTCGGACTGCATCAAGGTATCTTGATTGTATTTTAACAGGATTTTGAAAACTGTCTTGATCTATTACAAAAGGGTAATTTACATGTACAAAAAGGTTATTTATATGTTATTGACCCATGCAGGCTTTTTGAATAGTCGATGTTTTTGAAGCGTAATGATCAAAAGAGCATACCAAAAACTGTTATGTTGAAGGCGAGTATTTACTGAAATAACAAATCGGACATACCCAGCAAACACATGACGTTAAAATAACGTCGGATATTAACGTTAGATTTTGTCACAACGTCGGCGAACAAAAATACGACCGTAAATTCTGACGTTAAAAAAAACCGATGTCTGATTAGACGTTTCTTTTTGACGTCGTACTAACAGTCAGGTTCTGGTCGGACCATCCTGAACGGTAGGGTTAAAAAATTAACAAACAAAAAAATCGTTATTTGCACTGTTGTAATCATTTAAACTTTTTTCCAAATGTTTATTTGGGCTTACAAATGAAGTGAAGTATTAATATTGATCCCCAGCCAAAAGATCCGGGGCCCCCTGCCATCCTAAAAAACATATAGGTGGCGCCTTATATAGGCAAGTTTATCATGTGTTATTGTTATGAAATTTATTTACGAGCCAAGATCGTTTACAGTTTAATATTTAACTTACTAATATTATATTTGTGGTACATTTATATGTATCCAAAATCCCCCCAGAGTTTTTAATAGTGCCTTAAAATTTAATTTCATAGTGAAAGAAAAGGGAAAAGAAAAATATATATAACCTATAATTCAATTACAGCCACGTGGAGGAAATTAAAATTTTCGTAGGCGTTACTTTTTGGCTGTGGGGTTCAGGAATCGGGAAGAAATTGATAAAAGTGAATTTTTAAAGGATTTTCTTGAAAAAAAAAGGTAAATTTAATTTATTTAAATTTATTTTTTTTTAAATTTTAATTTTTTGATAAAAAAAATTGCAGGGATTAAACCCCATTCTTTAAATTAATTTATTATTCGGAACAGTTAAACCCAAAATGTCACACAATTTCCCCAAAATTTGTTTGGGGGAAAAAAAAATCTTTTAAATTTTTAATTTTAATTTTTAATTTTAAATAATGTCCCCCTTTTCAGTACTACCAAAGAAAATCCCTTAGTTTTCATATTTTTTTTAAACCTGGGGATGTTTTTGTAAACTTAAAATCGGGAGAATTGAGAATGCTTTTTGAAACTTTTAATTTAAAAACTATAAAAAATTTTTTAAGCCCTTGTTTTTAAAAGGGTAGAATATACATAATTTTAGAAATATAATTTTCTTTTCAGATAGTTCAAGTGTTGGACATGCTCTCAAAGGTCGGAGGGACAGAAACACGTGATTATGTAAAAAGAAACATGGCAAAGTAAGATTTTTGTCAAATTCTTTACATACTTATAATCCATAACTAAACTGGAGTTTTTTAAAGTGGCCTTTTTAAATTTTCAGTATTTCATGTTTAGTTTCAATTTTTGTTAAAGCTATCTTATAAAAAGCTAGCAAAATTGTTCATTAAGTTAAGATAACTTTCAAAATTTCTAAAGGGCAGATAACCATGAAAAACATTTTAGCTTGTTATTTGTCCCATTTTTTAATAAATTTTTTTATTTTCAGTGAAAATGACATCACAAACGCTATTGGACATTAAACGTATTCTCCGGACAGACGAGGGGTGGTGGTAGAGAAAGGTCATATCTAAAAGCATAACACCTCCAAATTTGTGCTAATTCTCATGGATATTTAAAAGTATAACTTTGTGAAGTAACTAAAAGGAAGTAATTTACTGTATACCTTAGTGACAAGTATCAAAAGGAGGTCAAAATATGCAAAATGGCACTAAATGTTTTAGTAATGCTGTAGAAATATAGTTAAAATACTGAAAATCTGTCATAAATTGCTTGAAACATTATTATCCGAATCTTTTAACTTTTCTTAAAATTATATTTTTATTGAAATGTACATACATTGTTTTGTTCTTTAATATTTGTATATGTTTTCTTAGTTTCATTTATGTCATTGTTTTTTGTAATACTTTTTGTTTTGTTATTAACTTATTTTATGTTTTTTGTTTAATTTATGAAAAGTATTTAGCCTTGGAACTTTTATTTTAAATAAATAAAAAACATAAAAACATATTTTTGATTTTAGTTTTTTGTTATACATTTCATTGGAGTGAAAGTTACTTAATAGAATGAGTTACATTAAATTTGATCAAAGCAGGATTAGCCAGAAAATATTTATAATGTGGTAAAACAAAAAGGATTAGGGAATGATCAGATTAAGGTCGGAAAATGGTCAAATTTAGGGCAGAAAATGGTTAGAAACTGGTTAGATTTAGGTCGGAAAATGGTCAGATTTAGGTCGGAAAATGGTCCGATTGTGGTCGGAAAATGGTTAGATAATGGTCAGATTTTGGTCAGAAAAAGGTTGGATAATGGTTAGATTCTGACGTCTACCTGACGTCAGATTATTACGTCAAAAAAACTTTCAAATCCAACCGTTTTTCCGACCGTCATCCGACGTCAGAACCTGACTTAAATCTGACGTCAGTATGACGTTTTGTGTTTGCTGGGTATACACTTAACAAATGTTATTCATTTATAAATGGTCTCATATGTGTGTCAATTTGGATACGATCGTGCTGAAACTTAAAAACAGTTGAGGGACATGACATGATATTCCATTGATTAAATATCGTAAGAAATGAAAAATAAGTTATATGCTCAATAAATGTGATAGTGCGTTATAAGCCAAAGAGGCAAGATAAATATATCATTGAAAGTTCTGTAATAACCTATGCCCAATCCGACTATTGATTTCAATCTGGAAGCATTGTCGCCTGAATGTGACCAATCTTTTTCATAATATTGGGGTAGATTTATTCACTTTAGAACATTTTTTGCATTTTCTCCTAGGCGATGGTTTGTGGCACCCTATGAGGCGAATCATTTCACCCCGTATGGCTCTTATTACATTTCCGTATAGGTTCTACCACATTTAAGTCTACAGATGTCTCTCAACTGTATATATTAAAAATTCAAGCATGATAGGGTCAATAGTGAATCACATTTTAAATTATTTATACATGCACAATTAAAAGATTTGTTAAGTGGACAATATAACTTAGAAAACCTTATATTATTCAAAACATATTTAAGAGTGGATGATAGAATTTAAAAAAAGCACGGAAAATACCTATTGTCACCACTTTAGGTAAATGATAGACAGCTATGTTACGGGTAGGAAATGTGCAAGCTCCAGTAAAATGTTTATTCATTTACAGTCAATTGTATTAAATGGATATATATTTCTTAATTTGTTGTCCATCTTAGATCCTTAAACTGTATGACTGTAAGAACAGCAACATATAATGATGACCTTGACCCTTATGTAAATGACATTGCGGGTCAGCTTTACAATCCTGATATCCAATGTGAGCGGATAAGAGGATCAGGATCGTTTTTGTACAGGGTAAGTATAATCTAAATGTATTTCATAATATTCTGAAATTACAATATCTGATTGAAGATATAGGATTTAATGTTTGTAAATGTCATTCGATCGGTTGACCTCTTCGTTTCCGATCGATAACTAGAGAAATTTGACCCTTGGCCTTCATAATGCCTAGCATAATCAACCAAATTAAGTAACATCATTTATTAAGGAGGGGTCGATGCAAAAACGTCAATTGTACAGTTTCCTTGAATGTGAAAATCGCTTCCGCTAAATAACTAGTGAACCAATTAAACACATAGCCTCTAATCTTATCAAGATTTCTGAATGTTAACATCAACAGGTCAATGTGTTTTGAATGTGTCATTTAATGTGAAAACCATTCAATACGTAGGAAATAATGTAACCCACAACGTTCAAACTTTAAATGATGATCAAACTCATTAAATAAAAGAGCATTGTTTGTTCTAAGCTGCTTAAAGATAAGGGCAAAAATGATTCCCAAGCGTAAACCGTTTCCGTTCAGAAATAGAGAAACATGAGACACGAAGCCTTCAAATTTTTAAGGATGATTATCTCCTTTAAAGTAAAATCTATTATCTTTTTGCTCGACTGTTGGTCAGGGTGACATTCAACTAGAATTCTGGAAACTTGAAAGTCCATTTACGCTAAAAAAATAGAGAAATATATGATCAGTAACCTTTAAACTTACTTCACAGGATACTTAACCTCATTGAATAGGAAACCTCTTTTGTAGCTAAGCTACTGAATGTCAAAGTCACAATGACATTGAAGGTTTGGTTTAAGTCGTTTTCGCTACATCATTAGATAAACTTTTTACAGATTTAAAACTATACAAAACCGCACTAAGTTTATGTCCTATATTTGACTATCAGGATTCTCAAATATCAAGACCAAATTAACTCTATTCCAAGAACCGTTAATACAAAAAAGAGAAAGCATTTCCACTAAATTATAGCAAGAAATTATTTCGACAATTGTTTTAAATGTTCATTAGATAAGCATCCTCGTTTATATAAGTTAAAAACATCATCTATCGTTTATTTGTACTACTTGAATGGTTACAGTGACCTTTAACAAGAAAGGTCAATAGAATACCACCTGAAGTCCTGAACCACTATTTAAAAACGTCTTGGGGGAAATTTTGTATTTTTTTAGACATTTTGGTTATGTACTGTCATAATCAGTGTGAGAATGTAATAAATTTCCCTTAATTGTTTTACTTTCCTACTCAATTGGTAATGACATATTGACAATAAAATTAAATTATCACATATTTTATTGCACATGACGTTATCTGCGTATCAGATAAGTTAATTTAAACACAATTTTGTTCAAACTATAGTCCAAATACGATGGTAATTATTCAACAATATGTCAGTCAATGGCATGCGCCTCAACAACCACTTCTGGTAGTTACAACTACTACATTCCATGGGAAGGGACTACGTGTGGAAATGGCAGGGTACGATTTATTTCATTTATCAAAATTAACATTTAATTAGATAACTTGCTAAAATACCTTCTTTTTGATATAAATTGCGTAATCTAAAATTTTCATTATGCCATTATAAATAATCATCATTTATCAATTAAAATAATTGCATCACAAAGAAATATATTGACTCTGTAAATTTATCCTTAGATGTGTCAATCAGGGCATTGCGTCGAATCTCCCTTAGCACCTCCAGTCGACGATGGTAAGTGAAACTTCAATGTAAAATATTGTAAAGGAATGATCTGTACCTGAATATATTTATGTATTGTTAGATTTACTAAACACCTAAAAACACATGTACATGATAATTAATATATTGACCTTTAGTTCTGTCAGGTTTATGCACCAAAAAAAAATGGGCTGGCAATTAATAGCATAAGTAAGTCATTTTTTGACTGGTAACAAATGTGGAACACCAACGTGAAGTTTAACATTTTTCTTTTAAATGCAGCACTATCAGCGGAAGTTTGAATGAGCAAATGAATCATAAAATGTACCCAAAATGCGTTATCTAAAACAAAAATAAACACTATTCAAAAAACTGGATTTTATATGGATTACTCTGAATACGAAACTGACTACAGAAAAATATTTTATTGTGATAGAGATAATTTGTAAACAATACGTCATTGAAGGTCAACATAAGTTCAACCTTGTTTTCAAAGCTTAATACATACAAATTCATATGTTGCTGCAATGCAGCAATTGAGAAGTTTCGCGCAAAACAATGCGTTCATTACAGATACCTTGCTAAAACATTTCTGCACACAAGGCATTTTCTATTCTAGATGAGGGACAAGTGTACATTATTTTGGATATTTTGTAAATCATTTAAATTTGCAAATGAAACTTATCGTATACACTTTCCATGACAGAGGGGCCAGATATTAAATCTAAAAAAAAGTGCTTTCACTGATGCCTACCTTGTAAGGAAAGTAAAACAAACACAACTTACAAGACTAGTAAATGCAATGTGACATGAGAGTAGTGCAACATTGTTCTGTTTGTGTCACAACTGTAGTCAGTAATATTAGATGATAAAAAAAATCAGGCGAGAAAAAGAGTCGTTCATCTTGTAGGTCAGGGCGGGCGAATGAAGTAAGCAGACTTGTTTTACAAAAAGATGAAGATAAATAAAAAAATAAGCAGCAGTGCATTAAGTGATGAAATAAAAATTGGGGAAATAGGTGAATCTTTAAGCTATATTGGCCTAAGTGGTTATAAACAAAAAACATATCGATAACCTTCATAGTATGGGTATTGAGTTGTTTATCATAACTCTTGTCATCATATATTTCTATGAATAAAAAGAATTTATTGTTTTGAAAATGTCAGTGTTTCTTGTTGAATTTCCCTGGTCGGGTCGGCACAGGTAACAAAAATATCAGCCATCTGTCAGAGTCAAATCATACCTACCCTGTTATTTTATACACTCTTGTGGCTCTCCCTTCATAATCGCTAAGACTTTCATTCTGCGACAATATTACCTTTTTTAAAACAATCATTGTCAGTATCAATTTTAGGGAATATTGCATCTTTGCACCATGTGACTTCCCATAAATAGTGAAATACCAAAGAGAATTTACAACTATCATAACTATTTGAACACACAGTTATAAATATCTACTGTGAAAACAACCCTTTGCGTCAATTCCTTTTAAACAAAGCAGATCTACTAACTCTATAATTATCTGGAATGGGCTACATGAATTTAGCCAGTTTTACAATACGTTATAAAATTATAAAAATTATCAACATATAAAACAGAAACTGAGATAGGGATTCATTTATACCATACCAATTTATAAAGCCATTAAGATGTTTAATTAGTACTATTCTAGTTCCCATCTACAAATTTTCACTATAATAATTGATGGTAATTTGTTCGAATGGTGGTTGTTACTTAGTCGCGACGTTTTGGTCAATCTGTTAATGTGCGATAATGACATGTGTATGTGAATAAATGATACCGAATGATTGGGAAAACAATATTAACACTACAATGAAAAATTTAACAATGTTTTATTTGTTATTGTGAAATGAAACTTGCATCCAAACTTCTTTTTTTTTAAAAAGAAAAAGATATCAAGATAAGAATAGATAAATAACAATCCTAAGCCAAAAGCCTGAAAATGAGATGACAATGAGAAATGAAAATTGACCTTTTTCTTGGCCTTAGTTCGATTCTCTGTTTGTGACCGGCTTAAGTTTGGTACTTTCTATGTGAACGGCCGTAGTGGCTAGGATATGTCGGCGATTGCATTTTGTGAACGTTGGATTGCTTTGTTGATTTTTGTTCTAATATTTTTACAATATCCTTTAAAGTGAAGTAGGTAGCATCTTTTTTACAAACGTACATGTATATCTCAAACGTTTAACTTAAAACTATTTGTTGAACAGAAACGTGTCTATTCGGAGATGTTCCTTACAACATGCCGTTCCAGACATCTGGTTGTTATGATTTTCTCGGAACTCGTGAAACATCTTACAATTGTTACCATGAACCGTACAGGCTACACTGTTGTGAAACTTGTGAAGCTATAAGGCAAAATAACACGGCGTATGTAGGTATGTTTTTGCTATGATTTCCTAGATGTTTACCGCCGTATTTCGTAGCATATTATGTTGCCATTTGGCACTTGTGCTTTTGAAATGCTCTGATGATTGTCAGGGAACACTTTTGCCATATCTTGCATTGTTTTAAAATGTGATGGCTTTATTTGATTGGTGTCCTTAATACTTTTTTCATTTTAACATGGCCTGTTTTGATTATGTGTAAGAGAAATACAATACTCTGACATGGTTTGTGAAAGGAAAAGTGGCGTACATGACTACATACATTTAACGGGCTCAGATCACCAAGGACATTCGAACGTTTGTCTACATCAAAACATTGATAAAAATTAACCAATGGATTTCTTGTTCATTGTTTAAATCCTTAACAGCGGCCATCCAGTGGATAAAATGTCATTGTTCGACAGTTGCTACCTTTACACCCCAGTTACACAGAGCCATCGGTGATTGATCGGTAGTTTTTTTAGCCAAATTATGGAGTGAACCGATGACAACGTATTTAACACCGATATCACCTATTGGTCACCTGTTTTCCACATATCAACTGCTATTTGGGAAAGATAAGTTTCATCGGTGAGAAATTACCGATTGGGATTTTTCAAACATGTTTAAAATTCTCGATCGGTGAAAATGTTTTACAAATAACCGACAGCAACCGATATCACGAGATATGCAAGCTCTTAATCACCGATATCGCCGATCGGACAAAGATAACCAAATATGAATCACCGGCCATATCTGACGGAAAGTGTTTAACCACTGATGACTAGCTATCAAACACCGATTAACCAGCGTTACGCCCGATTTAGCTCCGATTTACAAACGATAAAAAACGATAGTATTTCAGCATTTTTATCACGAACCCGACCCCGTTTGAATTTGCTTTCTGTCACCGATGGCCGTTTACACAGAAAACCAGATATAAAATCACGCATGACAACCGATCATAACAGCGAGTAAATTTAAAATTAAATGACCGATTGGCGACCGATCGTCTGTGTAACTGGCCCTTAAAACCAGTGGATTGCGTATTTATCCACTGGTTAAGTATCACAATTCAACAGGTGGTTCTTGGAATAAAATGGCCGATTTATTGATGAATAAGAAATTTCAAAGAATCAGGAAGCTCCCCAAAAAATAATTTTGCATGTTTTGTAAGGATTGTTTAACTGCATTTTCTGAACTACAACAACAACAAATAGGAAAATGGTTGATAAAGCACTTTTTAAAAAATATTTCAATTAATTTTAATCATATGCATTTAATATGAAATGTTCTGGTTAAGAAAAAAATATATATGTAAGAAAGATATGGTTTCAAACAAGTTTTAATGATTTTTACTGTTTTAATGCTGATGGCTAACCACTTGAAAAGAACATTATCCGTAGGTTATAGCACTGGTGAAAGTTAACCAGCGCTTAGCGCATTTTATCCGTTAGAAAAATTTTGAACAACAGAATTTATGCAACCGACAAATTTTTAGCCAGTCGATAATGATTTTATCATTTGGTGGTTATCATTGACCAATATATTGAACAACAGGGTCCAGATGTAAAACCTGAAGACTCAGTGTGAAGCTTTATGATCAAATGTCCCATAGATTTCTTTTGTAGTAGGATAAAGGGCACGTGTAGCTTAAAGATTCTACTCAGATAGATTGTCAAGCATTGACTAAAAGTAAATAAAAATTCAACCAAATTCTCGCATGTGATAAGGGAAATTGTAACCTCCTTATGTATAATGTTTTGTTTACAACTCATGAGACCTTTATCCATCCACTTTGAGTTCATTTATACATTTCATATCCGTAACATTTTGACAAAACATGGTAATATTTTCCTTCGTTTTTAGATTGTGAATATGGAGATAAAGGTACTGGCTGTTCAGAAATTTCATTATATAGTTGCCGGTCTAACAGTGAACTATGCTGTCGAAGATGCCAAGATATACAATTAGATATTCTAGGTAAAACAAAATTTATGAAATTTCAGTTTTAAACTTAGGTTTAAAGGCCAATGAAGCCTATAAGATGCTTGAATTTTCAAACTTATATTTGTTTTTAAATTGCACATACAGTCGTTGATGTAATTAATTGTTTAACTTTATTTATGGTATTAACAAAGTTGTATTTGTTTTTTGAAAGAGATCCTTCCAGATATACCACATAATTTGAGATGAATGGCAGCTAGACGCTGATAAAAACACTATCAGTGGTTAACCTCGATACATATTGTTTTCAATTTATTTTACCTCTTTAAACACGAAGTATTTCAAATAAATAACATCTGTATTTTTCGTTTTCATTTTTTTTACTCTTTAAGCCCGAAGTACTTCAAATACATAACAACTGTATTTTATTATGGTTTCAGTTTTATACATACTTATCTGTTTCTTAAGTTCGTTGTGTGTTAATGTTTTGCCACGTTTCAGATATATGCAATAAAACTATAAGATATCTAGTTTTAACATTTCAAATTAAAAAAAATGATATTATTTATTTATTTTATGCTTTTCAGTGTTTTATTGTAATATATCAGATGATTATATTCTAATAAACCACTTGTGAAATTTATAAAATATAGCCGGACTATATCTGAATGCGAATGAAAGAAAATCATAACTAAATGGCATAACAGGCAGGAATAGATGCCGTCATACGTAAATTTTGCTTCTTTAGGAAAAGAAAGTCGATGTCACCATACATCATGTTAAAATTGTAACAAAATTAGAGATATTAAACAGAGCTATATTTCAAAATTGATGATGTGACGTCATGATGTGATGACGTCACAAAGGAGAATGCGCGTCGTTACGCGGCAAAATCAGTAATAAATACTTAAAAGCACTTAAAAGGCATGAAATAAAAAGAAAACTTATTTGTTTTACATATAAGATTGAAATATATTTCATTCGTGAACACCAGCTATTACATTTTCAGTCGTGGCTACGCCACTCATGAAAATATTGCATCTGATGTGAATCAAGTCAATCTTACATGCAAAACAAACAAGTACCCTCTATGTTATGATCTATTCATTCCAGTCTGTAAATGCTTCACACTTAATTGAAAGAATCGAGTATTCAAAAAGCATTTTTGTGAACAATCTTACATGTATTACCATAAGAAATAATCCATCCATATTTGTATCCGCTTAAAAGTACTGTGAACATGAACAAAACAGCTTCTTATATTGTTTTTGGACTTGATTATAGCTCCTGGTCTACAAAAATAATGATTACAAACACAAAGTAAGATCTTACAATGTTCAATAATGTAGAGATAAACCAAATTAAGACACACAGCATACCGGTATTTATCATGTATATCACAAAAAATTGTTATATTAGAGAGCAATTTACTAACACATAACTTTAGCAATGAAATGTAAACTAGTTTTACTGAAAACTGCTATTTGTTTGAATGATATTATAGACAATCAACTTACTAAGTTCTGTTGACTTTATTGCTAAGTTATAAAAATCAAACATTTCAGGTTGTCCTTGGGGTGATTTGTATTCTAGCTGTGCGGAGTTATCTTGCAGCACTTACTCTAAAGAATGTTGTCAAACCTGTGCATCTTCTACCACCATATCAATAAAAATTGCTCCACGCCCGATGAAAAAAACAAAAGCCCAATACCCTAACAACTTTTTTAAAATAAAACAACAAACCCTTATTCTCCCGCAACAATTTTAATCTTTTTTTCCCCATACCCACTACCCCCTTTCCCCCAAGGAACTTATAACCGATGCAAGTTACCCCTACTTTTTTTTTTTGTTTTTTTTATAAAATTTAAAAAAAAGTTGCTCGTTAATATTTTGAATTTTTTAAATTTACGGGGAAAAATGCATAACTTAAACTTTTTTCATTTTTTAAAAATTTGTTTTTGTTTTGTCAAAAACTTTCTCGTACCCCTAGATGCTTAAAAAATTTAAAATTATTTTTTAAATTTTTCTGTCTTGCAAACAGATTTATCTAAAATATAATTTGTTAAGCTTCGATGAGTAAACATATTACATTTGTTTAAAAAAGGGATATAACTCGAAAAAAATTTAGATTATTTCACTTAATCAACGATAGAATACAGGTTTTTTGCAGAGAATTTTAGCAAATTTCGCATAAAGTAGAACAAAGGAATGAGGTCATAGTAGTAATTTCATTCTGGTTATTGTTTTTGTTTTTGTTTTCGTTTAGGGCCACACACGCATCTTTTTACTTTGGGACCATTGCGCGGACGGTAATTTGCACTTCACAATACAGTCTATGAACAGGCTTAATCAAAACCGAGACTGGAACATTTCCAATTTTGTTTCTCTTAACTTTATCCGTTTAGCAATGATTTCGTACATGCGTCATTCGCTTTTAAGGCAATTCACTTCCATATCAATTTTATACAATTATTATAAAACTAAATGCTTTTTGCAGCAAATATATAGTTTTATTACCCTTCCAGATTTTTTCCACCTTTTTTCCGTCGAAAGAAATTGATATAACCGAGCCAGACGGGTAATATACACACTAAATATACCCGTTGGGTACCCAACGATGTAAACAACATGCGTTGTGGCGATGCGCGTACGGTTCTATTTTACGCGGTGTGAATTCCGATATACAAGCACTTTTTAAATGTCAAATACAAAATATTTACCAAAAGAAAGTAATGATAAATATTCTCATCAGTATTGAAAACAAATATGGCCTCGCCAATGCTTGATATTAATTACAAAAAAGTGTCTTTAACAGACTATTCCTTTTTTCTTGTTTACATTTGTTAGGTACGAAAGCAAATACGTCATGTATTTATGTGACGTCATGTTGTGGTGAAGGGGTACCCTAAAAGGGAATCTTATTTCGACGTTTCAATTGAAATAGCAATGATTTATTTTAAAATCGTACTAGGCAATGGAAGGGTAATAAAATTGTTATTTTGGTTTTGGAGTGATATATGTGGATATATTACCTGGCAAGATTTTATATCACCCTCGCCTAACGGCTCGGGTGATATAAAATTTTGCCAGGTAATATATCCACATATATCACTCCAAAACCAAAATAACATATATTATACACTTGGATGTTTTTGTGATTCGCCGTGGTAATGAATGAAAAGACAAGGTTTGAATTGTCAAACGTTCTGACAGTAACGTTGTATTGTTATGTTTTGCTAATCAAATATAGATCATAACAATATTTATCACATAAACCGCGGCGCAGGAGTGTAATAAAGCCATGTAATAAAAACGATATTACACTAGTGTAATGACACTTTGACATGACGTCATTTGCGCTACATAGAAACATAGCGTTAAAGCGCGCTAATGTTAGCGTTACACTATAGACGCGTCATTGAAAAATTACTCATTTTAACGGTTTACTGTTCTTATTTTATATATGTGATAAATAGAATATTATATTCGTGTAGATTCAATACTAAATTTATTGAACTCGTTGTATAAAACAATATTATGCTCGCCAGAGGCTCGCATAATATGATTTTATTCAATTCGTTCAATAAATTTAGTATTAAACTACACTCATCCAATATCCTCTATGTAATGATACTGAAATCGAGTTAATTTTTTTCTTCAATATGTTTGATTTTCTTTTATTCATATAATTAACCCTGTAAAATATTTTCTGTGACATATGATTTACATTTAACTGCATGCAGCCATTTTACTTTGAATTCAGTATCTTCTTTAGTGATGTTTAAAAATGATTTACTAGCGCATTATCAATATATCATAAGAGAAACAAGTTGAATGCCTCCAAAAAAGAGTTTAGTCTTTTTAAGTCAAACAAAATCAATACGAAGTGAAAAAGCCAACTTTGCAATGGCCAACATCGGTCCAAAAGCCCAAATAATTAAATTGTATCTTTGAAAACACTTATAATCTCATCAATCAGAGGTATCTGATCAGAAGTATCAAACGGTCCAAAACAAACAAAAGACAAAAGAACAATTATCATTTCTGTTGTAAAAATTGTCATAACTTTCGGTGAAAATAAACGATCGTCTGAATATAAATGTGCTTTAAAAAGTCATTCAAACAAAAAGAGATTTCAGTTGATGGACATTTAAAGAAGAAAATCCCTAGATTATACTAACTGAGTTGTGCATCAAGAGAACACAAACTTCTAGAATGGGCAAAGGCAAAACTACGACAAGATTTCCGCATATAAATTTCATATTTTGATTGTATTCTGTTTTTATTATAAGTGCTTTTGTTTAATCCGTTGAAGAAATGTGATGAATATAAAAATCTAAATCAAAATTGTAATTTTACATATCACTGTAAAGAGCGGAATGTTTTATTTGCAGTTTCATAATGACGTCTATGTGGTTTATTTAGTATATCAATTCTGAGTGCATTGTTGTAGAATAACGCACGGTTTGAGTTCAAATGTGTAGTAATATAATCACGAAGGCCGATAGGGCTGAGTGATTAATTACAAAGCATTTGAACGAAAAACGTGCATTATTATACAATAATGCACGAAGAATTAATATCTATTTCCATTCTAGCACGTCAAGAAAAAATATAATTATTATTATAAAGTTGGACTTTATGTTTGCCTGTTAAATTTGTTTTCTCCTCAGAGTTTCCAATAGAAACGTTCTTTAAAGGCCGTTCCAGTGGGTTGAAAAAAACTGTCGTTAAATCTAACGTGTATAGAAACATTTTGAGAATAACAAATTTTGAAAACGTTGATTAAACTTTGTTTGTTTATTTTATTTCAGTCTATAATTTTTCCAAGCGAGATACAAATTATTAAAAGTGAAATAAATGTAAAATTTAACTCGTCTGCGACGTAAATACCTGATTTTGATTGTTTTGCACGTGCTGTTTGGCGCTACATTGTGGCGTCACATAAACAACACTTTAAACGTCTGTACAGCGTTAACGACTGAATTAAAGATATTGGTGTTCGGATGTATTTTCTTAGTTAGACCATTTTCTATCATTCTAGATAGTTTTCACAACAAAATTCGACAAAAAATTGTTTTTATTTATCAGATTTTTCAAACAAAATGGCGCCCTCAATGTGAAAATACACAGGGAGATAATAAGAACGGCGAGTGCATTGTTGCAGAATAATGCACGCTTCGGGCCTTCTTTGTTTATATAGAAAAATTTCCGATAGTGTAAGAATGGTTCATATTGTTCCTTTGATTCACTAACTATTGAATGTTTTTATTCATTGCTTTTGGGTGGTTTATTAATATATATCAGTGATATAAAACTGGTAATTTCACTGTTTGAAACAATGAAATTACCACTTTGATAATTTCACTGTTTTGAATTAAAGCCCCTTACGTTATTTTAGTGAAATTCCAGCGTACACAGTACTGGGTACCAACTTAATGACGTGACGTCGTAAATGACGTCACGTTGTATTATCATTTGGCGCGCTTTTCATTCAGTTTTAGGTTAAATATCTTTATTAAACGTTTCTTTGCATATTATAAAAAGAAAATTTGTTTAATTAAGTGTAAAATAGAAATATCTTTCACCTTGTGAACACCAATTGTTCATTTTTCACTTGTGTCTGCGCCACTCGTGAAATATACCTTTTGGTGCTCACTCAGTGAAATATATTCCGATCTTACACTGTACTAAACAAATATCCTCTATATTGTTTTCGTTAATTGAAAATAAAAGACATTTTTATATTATTCATTCTTGATTATTGTATAAAAAACTGTATGAAACTAATAATTATTATCACTGATACACATATCGTCTATTTTGGAAGCAAACTGATTTATGCCTTCCAGACGCTGGCTAGGGCATGTTTCTGAGCATGCGCAATATGCATATATTTATAAACTAGCTAACAGCTGATAGTACTACATTGTCGATAACAGTATAAGCAACCCAAGAAAGATTCATTAAATAACTAAGTTTTAGAATGTTTTGTGAAAATTCATAATTATGATGATAAATATGATACATGATACACTTAAATATCAGAAATAAAATGTGTTTTTTACATAATTGGTTCTACATATAATTTGTAATTTGTATTAAAATTTCGGTTTGCGCTGATTTTGCGCTGCCATGGTTTTTGAAATGCTCACACCTCGCGAAGGCAAAACATTTTTATAATGATAGTAAAACTTACTTCCAGAAATAAAGAAATCCTTTCGATTCATATCAACTAAGTTTTATTTTGTGAACCAAGTGAAAAAGACAGCTATATAAACTAGAACAAAATAATATGTTCACATACAAATGCCATGACTTAATTATATAAGTAAATATGATATTGAATTTTCAATACTAAGAATTCCTTTCGTAGAAAGCACTATATATGCACTACGGAAGTGTAGTGCCAGGTGTGTCACATTACTCGAAATTTCGAGTTAGTTACATTACTACAATGGCCACAAAAGTTTGAGTTATCAAGAGTTTGGAGTTGGAGTGCGGTTTTTCGATGGATATGGTGAACTGGGTACCTAGAGAAATCATTAAAGTTAACTTAAAACTTATTAGTGTACAATCGATTGTACACGCCCGACCTTAGAAACACGTACAAGGCTTCATTTAATGTGTACGTTTCGGCGTTCTTCAGGAGTTGTATTGTAACCCACGTGTCTGAACACATCTTTTCACTAATCTTATTATTCACATCACTGTGAATAAAACTATCCTATACTTCACGCGTGGGACATCTGACTTGTACCGCCACGG